CTGTGTCCTTTCCAGGCCTGTTTGGGCTGGGATACAGCCCAGTGGTATAGCATGTGTTTAGCATACTTTCCTTCCCAACAACATAACTTCTTGGGGCCCACACTGTGTGGCTCATCTCTATCCTGGCCCCAATTTTGCAATGCATGTTTATTTGATGAATGACATCATGTTGAATCATGGACAAGGTGTGTTTGTGTACACAGGTTTTGCCCTAAAATTAAATACTTTACAAAGCAAATAAAGGAATGACTTAAGAGTGCAACTAATTTAATAAAACAGCAGTTGTTTTTTTTTTTTTTTTACCTTTCTGGGTTTTATTTATGAGTAAATGTCCTAGTACAATGAATGAAAGAAGACACACATGTTCTGTACTCAGAATCGCCTGACTGACCTTTAACCAGAGTGGGTGTTAAAAGAACCGTCAGGAAGGCAGCCCAAGCCACTATCGAAATCATTGTGGGCTTCCTTAGAACACTGCCATATGATGCAGCTCTATCACCTCTGGTATATACAGAAGAAATCTAAGTCCATCTACCACAAGAACGTGTACATAGTGTTTATTGTGACACCATTCATAACAGCCAAGAATGGAATCAGCCTAGGGTTCCATCAGCAGGTTGCTAGAGAATACATGGCATATGTGCACAGTGGAATTATTCAACTACAAAAAGAATGAAATTATGACATTTGCAAGAAAATGAATGGAACTGAAGTTCATCATGTTAAGTGAAATAAGCCAGACTCAGACAAACAAAGCATTTTTTCCCTCATGTGTAGACTCTAGATTTAAAAATACATATACAAGATACAAAAATGGAAAGAAACTATTTAGGAAAAGAGCAGTGGGGGATGGGATGAACAGGTAATGGAGGTTGTGATCAAAGTACATGATAGACATTAATGAAAATGTTATAATGAAACCTATTCTTTTGTATAACAAATATATATTGGGGGGAAAATGGCTGTCCAGATAGGATACTTGTAGTCAGATTCTCCAATTGGATAAAAAAATAATTTGTAGTTTTTAAACCTCAAGGCCAAATGAACAGTAACATTACTGATTTTAACCACTGATTTCTCTGGACAATTTCACAGCTTACACACTATGATATAAAACAGACCTGGAAAATGTCAGACAAACTTGGGCTTAGCTAAACTGTACACAGCAGGAAAGAAAGTAGGATTCAAATGTGAGTTAGATACCTGGTCTTCTTCTCGAATCATAAGTCACCATGCTCTGCCATGCATGTGCTGAGACAAGTGGCAAGGGTTGCCTAAGTTTTGTGCTCCCATTCAGCTTGGAAGAATAGCCAGGGAATAGCAGTGCATACCTGTAATCCCAGCACTCAGGAGGCTGAGGCTGGAGGATTGCCCTGAGTTTGAGGCAATCCTGATCTGCCTAGTGCCTCCTTAGAAAGAAAGAAGGAAAAATAAAGGTAGAGTAGAAGACAGAGACAGATGGAGAACACACCAACCAGGGAGAACGTTTTCTCTCCTGACAGAATAACACCATTCATGAGATACCATTAGGAAGAGGTCCACATAAAGCTGTAGGACCACACTTCACTGTAGCTATTTTGGACAGGGTCTTTCTAAAAAATATTGATCCTACTTTTTAAAAATTTTATGCATTTATTATGTGTATGGGTGGGTGTGTTCGTGCCATGGTACATGTGTAGAGGTCAGAGGACACCTTGGTGTGAATGGTTCTTTCTTTCTACCATGTGGGTCCTGGGGCTCAAACTCAGGTCATTAGGCTTAGTGGTGAGTACCTTTATTTGCTGAGCTGTCTCCCCTGCCTTATCCTGCATTTTAAGCATGCCATAAACATGTATGATATAGTTGTTGGTCACTTTAACTAGCACAGGAAGGGTGTCAATACCTGGAGGAGGGGGGAGTCATTGGCTGTATAGTGAGGGGCCATTCATAGACCCCTATCTGGCACTGAAGTTCTATTTTGTCACTTTGCCATTCCTGTGGTATCACCAGGGGCTTCTGTGTCAAGATAATGGTATGTCAGGAGCACCTCTGGCAAATGGGGTTCCTGTGCCCACAGGAAGGAGCTGGAGTATCACTGCATCCCCATTGCTGGTTGCTGCCTTTCCCAGTGCATGGCTGTCAGCCCTCTCTGCTCCCCACAGCCTGGCCCAGAATTACCAGGGGCTCCCTCTCCTAGGATTCTCTCCTCTGAGTCAGCCCTAAGGGCTCTTCCATGAAGAGCTGTTTCTAACCAACATATCATGCAGCCTCCACATCACCTAGTCAGAGACCCCTTTGCTTTTTCTGCCTCTTGGCTTTTCAACACAAGGTGTACCAGGCAGATATTTTTCCGTTGAAATGTCCATTTCTGTGAGCTTCAGCTGTGTTCTTCCTATTGCCCAGACCTTGGACTGGGTTCAGTTTGTTTTGGTTTGGTTTTTTGAGACAGAATCTCAGTCTATAATGCAAGCTAGCCTTAAGCTCACTAGGTAGCCCCAAATGCCCTTGAACTCTAAGCAATCCTCCTGTGTCTTCCAAGTACATTAAAAGTGGGAGCCTCCATGCCCAGCTTCCACAGGATTTTTATGTACTTGTCATGAGAAATTCCATCACATTCCCACCACTTTATCCAAAGTGAAGTAAGCTCCTTTGGGCCTTCTCATATGCCAGCAGCCCAGAGTTCTTTATGAGTTTTCAGTACATGTGAATACCTTGTAGAACTTGTGTTCCCCACAATGTGCCCTGAGGTTTTGGTGTTCTGTAACACCTGAGGAAGCCTCACAGGACAGTATTTCCCCAGCATCAGCTATCTGGATTGCTTGGTTTTTTGCTTTATTTGTTTCTACTGAGGTTAAGGGAGTGAGTGCTCAACTTGTTTAAATCCCTGTTCTGCCATTTTGAGCATTGTTCTTGAACATTCTCAGCCTGAGCTTCCCCAGATGTCAAATGGGTAGTAATAGTACCACCACATCCAAAGCTTGGGAAACGTAAAACAGGGCCTGGCAGTCACCAGTCTGGTCATAGGGAAGGTAGTTTATAGGACTACCTGCCATTAGAGATAGGAGTGTGGCTTTTGTGAGTCTGCCTGTGTTTCATGGGAGAGTACAGTTCCTCACTTCCCTTCACCCTGGTCCTTAGAGTCTATACCTCCTAGGATCTTCCTGTAGCCACACCAGCCCCCTTCTCCCTTCTCCGCTTCTTCCCTCTCCTCAGCTCATGCACCCCCACACCTTCCCTCAGGAGCCTGTCCCAACACACAGCACACACAGCATGCTGGGATGGACCAGCATCACTCATTTTCCAGAACAGCTCAAGCAGAGCTCTGCCTCCCCTGACCCAACCTTCCACCACCTTCCCAACCACCACCTTCCTCAATTGCTCCACCGTATCTCATGTGGTAGATACAGGCTTTGGTCCTTGTCACTCATTAAGTCATATATGAGGCTGTTTTGTAGTGACAATGCTCAGTTCACATTAGAAAAATCATTTGGTATCCAGTAAGAGTCTGAGCTCCAGGAGAGGCCTACACCTACTTCCTCAACCAGGGCTCACCATGCCTAATCAGTGCTGCCTAACACCTATGCTATAAGCCTTGCAATTCTCAAAGCTCTTTAGATAAGATGTTTACTTATGGGTATCAGCTTGGTCCACAGGGCAGACCAGTTTCTAGCTATTCAGACTCTCTGATCTGAGAACCTGACATTAGGGATGATGATGATGAGCTCAAAGGATGAATGGCCACAGGATAATGCAGCGTCCCAGAGGCTTGTCAATTTAGAAGCAACTGGGCCACACACAAGGCCTACCATGTGAGGTTCTGGTCTCTGTCTCTGGCTGTGAAGCCTGGGAAGAGAGGAAGAATCTTCTCCTGAGGGTCCAGCACTGTTCTCTTGGGATGCAATGCCTAGACTGATGGAATGCCAGGAACAACGATGGCTGCTTTGTATGCATAACACAGAGCTTGATTTCAAGGCAAAATGATGTTACCCAAGCACCTGTTGCTTGACCTTTTCCCCCTGAGCCCTCTCTCAGGTCAGCCATCAAAGCTCTGTGTGGTGGACAGATCATCATAAGGCCATCCACCCTGTGAACCAAGCTTGGAGATGAATAAGGAGTAAGGCTTTTAATAATAATGAGTGACAGGGCTTTGTGTGAGGAAACTCTGGCTTTAGACTCCTGGCCCAAAGGGTTAGAAGGTATAGTTGCACCCCTCCGATGAGCCCGCTTCTGGCTTTTTCTTCTCCTTCACAGCATTGACTTATGATTTCGATTCCCTGCAGTGAAGTTAGTGTCCACAAACATGGGTTATAAATACTGTTATTTTAACCCCCAGTGTTGTACATTTTAGCATTTTTGAGACCATCTGCAAAGTACCTGTGCTATCAGATTAGGAAAGAAAGGGGGAAATTCTAGTGAAAATCACAGAATGTTTAGAACCAAATCACAAGTGTAGCTGCAGTGATACTTAGATTAAATCATGAAGTTTTAAATCCAAATATTGAAAAAAACTAATATTAATGATCTATAATCTCAAAAAATGAAAAGAAAACACCCAAATATATCAGCAAGATGGAAATATTATTGATGAGAACTTAAACCACAGGAATTGGTATTTGTGCTAAGTTATTTCATTATAAAGAAAGGACCTGACTTTAAAGTGCCGTATTTTAGTTATCTGTGTAATACTGGTGGCATATTTGGGTATGTCTCTGTTTAAAATCTGTTATTTAAAATTAATTAATACCTAAAAGCCAATAAACATTAATTTTGAGTATTAAAAAAGTAATGCCTACAAGTTATTATCATGGCTTTCCATCTGGGGGTGGGGGCACCAACATTCAGACCATGACAGCATGGACAGTTTTTCCAGCTGTTCATTTAAAGACTCTCCTGAACTGGCAAGGCAGGTGTTAGGCCATTACAGCAACTTCTTCCCAGAATCCATCCTCCTTTCTGGACAGCATGTAACTGAAATGAAACAGAATGGAAGCCACTCAGCCTTTCCTCTTTTGTCTTTGAAGGATATTCCCAGAGTCTCTCCGCTGGCTCATGGCTACCCAGCAGTTTGAGTTGGCAAAGAAGCTGATCCTGCACTTGACACAGAAGAACTGTGTAAGCCCCGAGAGTGACATCAAGGGCATTATGCCAGGTAACTACACCACAGGCTGGGGGCAAGGGGGGAAGACACTGCAGGAGGCTTATATTGCCCTAACTAGTGGAGTAACTGTCCTAACTAGTGTCCCTTGGATGCTTCTGTGTCTACATGGTCTACAGAAAGGCAGCAGTAGCAGCTACAATCTGGGAGTGAGAGTGACTTGAATTTCTCTCCACTTTCTGGGAGTTGGTTTCTTTCATGATCTAGCTGAACACTCTGGTATTCCTTATAGCCCATGCTAAGTCAGAAGCACAGTTGGATGCACACCTATGTATTCGGCTATGTGGCACCCAGCCCTGCCTACCCACCTACCAGGTTTTAAAGCCCTGGCTGAAGGTGTAGATGATCTAAATGACCTATATTCTTGAGTGTGACCTTCAGAGAGCTGCCATTGTCTATTTATGGCCATGACCTATTTGTTGGGCAAGGGAAGAAATGGAACCATGAACTATTTTCATAGAGTGGTTCAGATCCATAGAATTCTTGTGAATCAGGACATCAGCACACATTAGGTGGAACTTTCAAGCTGGGAGTCCACAAATGTCACTAGGAGGCTCTTCATAATCAGATTCCTGGTCCTTCCCTGACATGCCAAGATACTGACCCAGTAGATCTGAAAGAAGCCTGAGAACATGCCACTGTAGTAAACACTGGAAGAGATTCTAACACAGGGAACCTAGGGAGCCCCTTTGGAAAAGCACTGGTAGACTGCAGTTCTGACGCAACACCCTAACCTGTAGACCTAGTATACATTGTAAAATTCCTCAGGAAAATAATCTATAGGTCCTTGTCATAGAGAGAAGGGGAGTGGGGGGGTGGGTTCCCAGTACTGGAATCCTGTGATGATCATTCATTCATTTAGTCCACAGATGTTTACTAGGCACCTATGAGAGAACAGAGAAGGAATCAGGCTATGCCTAGCTCTTGGGGAGCTCAGAGTCAGGGGTGCATGTACAGGGGGCCCTTAGACATGTACTCAGTCAGGAGGGGTGAAACACTGGAGCAGAAAGTTGAAGGATGGTGGTAAATAGTTCTGTCAGAAAAGCTAGTTGAGCCTGGCTCTGAGACAGGTGAGCAGAGGCCTGAGCCAGACAGGAGAAGGTGCCCTGCAGGGTCCCAGTAGGGAGGAGAAACATGAGCAACCTGGATCAGTACCCAGCTGGGCCTCTCACTGGACTCCCATTCAGAAGATCTGGGGCTGCCTAGGTGTCACTGCTCAGCCAGGGTGTCATCCCTGCCTCCGCCTGTGCTCAGGACACCCAGGCTGAGCTACCACTTGCTGGGTGTGGTCTACCAAGTCCTTCAACTCGGGCCAGAAAAGTCAGGTTGCCCTGAAGCTTTGATTTCCCTGGAATGAAGGATGCATGCCACATCTAGTCTATATCAAAAGTACTGAGTGATGCTGGCTCTCCAGAGGGAACTCGGAGGCCCCCTTTCTCATGTGTAGAGACATTAAGCAAGACAACACATGGTGCCAACATACCAGTCCCCTTCTAAGTGATGTGCAAATACCAGCCCATTTTTCACATGCAATCCTGTATACTTTACACATATGAACCTGTTTCTTCACAGCAGCACATTTGTAAGGGAATCTGTAGTGCTCCTCATCTGCAGGTGGGAAAACCACAGCACAGAGATGCTGAGTAGCTTTGTCTGAGGTCACTTTGCTGCTAAGTAGTTGAGAAGGGACTTGAACCCATGAAGTTCAGCAGAAGTGGTTTTACTTTGCTGCTGGGAAGAGGGAGACCATGAGACATGGGGACGGGTACTATTAAGGACCCCTTCGAGCCAGGTTTGCCCAGTGTTGGACCATCACATAGCTTCCCACAAGCGCCTACTCCCTCGTGTCTTTCTGTACATTTGTCATTTATTTCTGGCCTTCTCCTAATTAAATCGTCACACTCCACTTCTTTTGGGTTAAAATGTTATCTGAGAAAAGCTTGTTTTCTCCATCCTAATCACACTGATTCATGTCCCTATAGTTCTCCCCACAACCTCCCAACCCCCCTTTTTGTTTCTAAGTTTTGTTAGTACTTGTGTGTGTCTCTCTCTCTCTCTCTCTCTCTCTCTCTCTCTCTCTCTCTCTCATGTTCTTGTGCTCTTCTTTGATAATTATTGCTACATATACATACATAAATACTTTTTTTTTGTCTTTTAGAGACAGGGTCTCCCAGTAGCTGCAGCTGTCCTGGAACTCGCTATGCAAACCAGGCTAGCCTCAAACTCACAAAGAGCCGCCTGCCTCTGCCTTATATCCCAGGCAGGACAAGAGGTAGTTAGTCCCTCTTAGTGACTGACAAAGAAGAGAAAGATTTGCCCCTTACCAGGATCTGTCATCAGTCATCATGATCACTGTGAGGTGGTCACTGTGGGATGCTCATTCCTGCCTCTGGCTGTCTACCAGCCCTCACTGTCAGATGCATTTAGACAGCACTATGCAAAACTTAGAGGACGAAGGACTTCCCTGTTTTGTCTAGCCAAGTCTGGGAGTGGCATCTTCTTGGCTCAGACTTGCTCTTCCACTTGTTATCCTCTTCGTAGTGCCTCATCTAGCTCCCCATCCACCCATGGGCTCTTACTCAGCTTCTCAGGCACATTTACTGGCTTTTCTGCTCTGCTCTGTCCTCCTACCTCCATCAGCAGCCCAGGCACAAGCTCATCACAGCATCATCTGCTCCAAGGCCTCCCAGGATCTTTAGGGGAGACACCCACCCCATCTACCACATAGCTTTGGAAACCCTGCCTGATCTCCTACTTCCCCAGGCCTCTCTTCTGTGTTGGGCTCCCACAGGAAACTGATCCACTCTCACTTTCATCCTGGCTAGCTCCTCAAGCCCAAATTGGCCCTCATACTCTATAGCCTGGGCACTTGTCCTGGCTGTAAGGAGAGCTATGTCAACTGGTCAGTGCCTCCACCCCACAGAGCCTCTGCTCCCAGCCCAGACTATACCCCAACACCAAAGGAGGCCCCTGGGTAGCAGGCAGCTCATGAAAATTCATGGAATACAGCTGTCCAGGACTTCTACAACCAGGAAGGGGCAAGGCTGTTCCTTACGTTGCCTCTGGCTAAGCTGCAGTGGTGAGGAAGGGTGGCTCAGGCTCTGTTAAGGCATGCTAGTCCTGGGCTTATGCAGGAAGAAAATTTTATCTTCCAAAACTTCCTGTTTCCATCTCTCTCTTTTTTAAATTTTTATTTATTTTTATTTTATGTGTATGTGTGTATTGCCTGCATGTAGGTAAGTGTACTTGTGTCATGCAATGCCTGCGGAGGTCAGAAGAGGCTGTCGGATCCCCTGGGACTGGAGTTATGGACAGTTGTTAGCTGCCATGTGGGTGCTGGGATTCGAACCCAGGTCTTCTGCAAGAACAACCAGTGTTCTTAACCACTGAGCCATCTCTCCAGCCCTCCATTTCTCTTTTAAAGCTGCTTTGAGTTTATATTTGAGCATAGGCATTGGTCTCCATGGCATGTACAGCAGAATTACATACTTGAGCGTGTTCCCAAATGTCATTCTCACAGTGTCATATGATGTGCCCAAGTGTGACAGCTTCTCTTCCCAAGCCCTGACTCCCAAGATTTTCAACATTTATTGCAGAAGTAAAGACTGCTGATTCCATAGTGCACACATTCCACGGAGGGAGGGAGAGAGGGAGGGAGGGAGGGAGGGAAACAAAGCCAGGAAGCAAGGCAGGCTGATAGCCTGGAGTAAGAATGCCACTCTGCCCCTTTACTTTCAGTGATGGTTAAGGGCCAGCAAAGAGTCATGGGGCAGAGACTGGGAGGCCTGAGGAAAACTCCCCACAACATTTAATCATTCTCGGAGCCTAATGAGGAAACTTCAGCTCTCCTTATTTTACAGGAGGGCAGGAGGGACCAGAAAGGCTGAATGTTGGGGAGTAGTAAGCTCCTGATATAACACCCTGGGAAGAAGCTCAATGAAGAGTGGCCCAATGAAGAAGAACCCACACATGACCCTCATCCTCTCCCTGGGGGAGAGCAGTGTGCAGGGAGCAAGGGTCATTTGGCCTCTTGCTTGTGCGCAGCTCCTTTATGGAAGCAGTAGCCAGGGATGGCCAAGGAAGTCCAACTCAAGCTTCTCATTCCTAGGGATCCTGGGAGGGTGTGCTGCCACTGTCTTCTCCCTTGGCTGCCCTGAGAAGATGCAGAGGCCAGGACCTCTTCACTGCCTCCTGCATCCAGGGCTCAGAGAATGCACAGCAGCTGTGTCTTATCCACAGCATGTGTCAGGACCTCTCTAGACAGCCTAGGTTTTCCCTATACATACACACCTCTGGTAAGGTTTAATTTACAAATTAGGCACAGTAAGAGATTAACTGTAACTAATTACAAGATAGAACAATTAAAACAGTAGAACTTATGAACTGCTCATTTAATATTTTCTGTTTAATATTTTCTAACAAGAAACTCAGAGCAGGGCTTCTGCCCAGCCATGTGGGACCCTCCCTGCTCCCAGATCTCAGGAGCTGACCACATGGGTCAGGGAAACACGGAGGAGCGGGGCTGCACAATGGAGCTGGACACACCTGGCGTCTCAACATTAAGCTCTGCACGTGTCTGTTTGAAATTCTAACAATGCTAAGTCAAGAAGGCTGAGGAGCTCCAAGGTCTGTGGAGGCAGACCTTGTCCTAATCCTCATGTCTTATCAGCTCTCTGGCACCTGTTTGCTTTTATTTCCTGGTACAAGAAGTTTGGGAGAGTCCCTGGGTTTCTATCTGATAGCCAGAGAGTCAGTAAACCATCTTATTTCCAGTGAGCTCACAGGGTTTCAGCACTTCGCTTCTGTGTCCTACAACTTGGAGTATATGGGTTTCAACCTAGAAGAAAGCACTTTGGGCTGCAGTTCTATGTTGTTGATAGGCCAGTGATGTGGATAGCAGAGACCCTGACAAAACATCAATACTGCTGGAAAAGTTAACTTAATTCCCCTTAGACTAATGCAGTTACCACTGTAAACTACAGTCAATTCTTAGACTGGGCTCTAAGGTTTAATGTTATTTAAAAAAACAAAAACCTCAGGTTATAATGTAATTGCTATAGCTTCTTTAGCATCATATTTCATCCACAGTAATACATTCACAGTTAAGTATGGATCACATTTTAAAAAGAAACACCTTTAAACTTACATAAACACACTAATCACATTTGGATT